CCTTCAGGAAGTGCCAGGCCTAACTTGGGGCCAGAAAGAGAGGCTAAAAAAATATCAGAGTCTAGAGGGCCCATTGGAAGTCCTTACATGATGCAGAGTTCTCACTTCACTACCAACCAGGAGATCTGAAGGCGGATAGCACTGGGAAAGTCTGCTGTCAGGGATCTCTCCAAAGTCCTGAAGAGTAATGATGTCAGTTTAAAAAATAAGGAGCACCTGATTCAAACCATAGTCTTTCCAATCCCTTGCTATGCATCTGAGAGCTGAACCATGAATAAGGATGACAGAAGAATTGATGCCTTTGAGTTGCGGTGTTGGAAAAGAAAACTGAATATCCCATAGACTGCCAGAGAATGACCAGATTATGTCCTGGAGAAAGTGCAACTAGAGTGAGTGCTCCTTGGAGGTAAGAAGGGCAAAAATTTATCTCACAAGCTTCGGGCATGTTTCTAGGAGAGCCTATTCCTTGAAGAGGGACAACATGCTTGGAAAGGTGGAGGGTCAGCAAAAGAGAGGGAGACCCTCAGTGAGATGACTGAAACAGTGTCTGTGGCAATGGGCTCAAGAGTGTCAGGGATGATAAGGATAGCTTAAGACAGGCAGAGCTCAGATCTGTTATTCACAGAGTCACTATAAGTTGTACTCAACTCTATGGCACCTAACAACAACAACAACCACCAGAAAGTTCGTGGTTTGAGCCCACGCAATGGGACTATGGAAGTAAAGGTCTGGCTACCTGCTTCCCTAATGGTTACAGCCAAATAGCACAGGCCACAAAGTCAACGTTCTCCATCTTACTCTGTGAATGGTGACTAGGGTCTTAGAAACTTGGAAACAGACATCCAAGGTGAAACTATTGGTTTCTCCCCATCTGGAGCAAAGAAAACAAAATCAAAGACTATAAGTCCAAAGAACTAATAGACTACATGAACTTCAGTCCTTGAAACCCTGAGACCAGAAGAACTAGATAGTGCCCAGCTCCACTGCTGGTCAACCTAAAGGGGATCAGGATAGAAGTTCCCTGGTAGAGTGGTGGTGGTGGTGGGAATGCGAAACAAAACTCAGAAATCATAAAAAGACCATTAGCCTTACTAGTCTAGTAGAGCCCAGTGAAACTCCCAAGACTGTTGCCCTTCATCACCCTTCAAACCTAGAACTGAAATCACTCATGTGACTCAACTTCCAGCCATGCAAGAGACAGGCCTCTACATGTTAGAGTCAAACCAGACCAAGACAACATTGTTTGCATAAGAATGACGTTGAGAAGATAAGAAGGGATAAGAAAGAAGGACAACTGGGAATGAGAAACAGAGAAAGAGGGAAGAGTGTTGTTGCAATGTGGAGAGTCCAATCAACACCATAAAACAAAGTGTTATGTATTGTTAAAAGGAAACCAGTTTGCTCTACAAATTTTCTCTCAAATTACACTAAGAAGGAAAATCTGAAAGATGGGAGTTGGGGAGTGCAGCAGAGTAAGAGTCAAGAAAACCCCATGGAGCTCAGTTCTACTCTGGAACACTGGGGTCTCTGTGAATTGGAGCCGACTTCATGGCTACAGGTTTGTTTTCTGGTTTCATTTTGTTTAGAGGGCTCTTAGAGATCAACATCAGTATCCTCCTCTCATTACAGGTAGGGAAGCTGGGGTATAGAGAGGGTAGCGATAGCCTCAAGGTCTCACGGAGGTTGGTGGCAGAGCTGGCCAAGAATCTTAGGTTCCAGAGTCCCTCAGCTGAGGCAAGATGGTGGACAACTGAGTGCCCTGTGGAGCTATTTTCCAATGACCTTGCTCAGTTCATTCTCTTAACATTTAACATCCTCAGTGGCCCAAGGAATGCTTTCCTAGACATTCCCAGACAGATTTTTGTTGTTGATTGCCATTAAGATGAGCATGACTCATGACAACCCTATGAATAAAGAGGCCTAAAGCCTTTCTATAGCTATTGTCATTTATCAAAGTTCATAGAGTTTCCAGAGGCATGTGGTTTAGGAAGTGGATGCCATTCCTGCTTCCAAAGAAAGACTTGGTGATGGGAAAAAGAGACCACCTAATTTGGACCCTCTAGCCCACATCTGAGTTCTGGTGGCATATTGTTTAATATATTGGGATGCTAACTGAATGGTCAGCAGTTCAAAACCACCAGCCACTCCATGAAAGAAAGATAGGCAGTCTCCTCTGCTCAAGGTTTTTAGGGTCTGAAAGTTGATAGCAGGTCATTGTGAGCAAGGAACCAACTTGATGACAGTGAGCGATGTAGCCACATATGTCCCAGGCAGAACCTGTCTTTTCAGGGCTGATCCAGGCAGGACTGTCCTTCTACCTGTATCTGTACCCGTTTATTCTAACACCCGTACCATTGTTGTTATATGCTGTCAAGGATTTTCAACTCATAGCAACCTGATGTGATGGAATAGAACTACCCCATAGAATTTCCTAGGCTGTAATCTTTATGGAGAAGAGAGCTCTGGTGGGTGGGTTCAAATTGTTTGAGTAGCTGAATGCTTAAGTGTTCTCCCAGCACCTCACCTTCATTCCAGACACCTAGAAAATTTGTCCATGTGCCTGTCCCAGATCCTGGTAATGAAAACCATATTATTTGGGCATGTGGCCAGGAGGGACCAATCCTTGGAGAAGGATCTCATGTTCAGAAGGTTGGGGGGGATAGCATAGGAGAGGAAGACCCCAGATAAGAGAGATTGATACAGGAACTGGGGCAACGGGAGTAGGTGTGTCAGAGTCAATGAGACTGGTTCAGGACAGGGCAGGCTTCAGAGCTGTTGTACATAGGGTCACTATGAGTCACAGATGACTCGACGGCACATAACAGCAACATAACAATTTAAAAGAATAAATATGGTGAACTCTGGTGACCTAGTGGCAAGAAGCTGCACTGCAATCCCAGAGGTGAGCAGTTTGAATCCACCAGATGCTCTGCTGGAGATGGAGGCACAATCTACTCCTGTACCGGTCAGATCTGATTTGATGGTACACACACAAAAAATATAAAAAGAATAAATAAATAAATAAATAAATATATATATATATATATATAAAATGCTCAGAACAGCCTAGGACATATTTCTATGGGAAAAATAAAATACTCTCTGAATGTTTGTGAGATCTCAAGTGGCGTTCACTTCCTAAACAACATGCCTCTGGAAAATCTATGAACTTTGATAAATGTCGATAGCTGTGGAGGGGCTTCAGGCCTTCTGTTCATAGGGTTGCTATGAGTCATGCTCGACTTGAAGGCAATCAACAACAACAACAACAACAACAATAAAATATTTGTTAATTGTTTTTACATTTCTGCATCTATTTAAAAAAATTAAAGATAAAAACAATTGACATTACATATTATACATGTAATATAATTGACATTGTTACAGATTCATAGCCCTCATTTGGGTCACCAAAGCTGTATATCATACAGAAGGAGACTGACCATCTTTCTCCCATGGAACCCACTGTTGGACTGGCTTGACCTTTGAGTTAGCAGTGAAATTCCTTATAGATTACACCAACAGAGCTCCCTTTTCCTCCACAGTGATCTGCTGAAATCATCACAGTCAGAACTGGGGCTAAGGGAAGCCAATAAACTCAATGGTCAACTCAAAGATATAATCAGAGATTCCAAACCAAAAACCTGTAGGCATCACATTTGGTCAACAAATATTTTTCTTTGGCCAACAGAGTACCATAACATTTTTCAATTAGTTACTACCATCTAAAATTCTGTATTTGTATCTTCTCTTAAAAAGGCACTGTTCAAAATCAGAAAAGGAGTGCATCAGGGATGTATCTATCTTCATGCCTTTTCAATCTGTATGCAGAGCAAATTATTTGAGAGACTGGGCTTTATGAGGAGGAATGTGGCATCAGGATTGTAGGAAGACTCATCAATAGCCTGTGATATTCAAATAATACAACCTTTCTTTGGAGAATTTGGGGAGGACCTGAAGTGTTTGCTGTGGAAGATCTGGACTGCAGACTTCAATATGGATTGAAGCTCAACATCAAGAAGACAAAGATTCTCATTACTGGGCCAATTGGCAGCACCATGAAAAATGGAGAAGAGATTGAGGTTGTTAACAATTTCTGCTTTCTCAGGTCCACAATCAACACTCTTGGCACCAACAGTCAGAAAATCAAAAGACAAATTACATTGGGGAAGTCTGCTGTCAGGGACATATCCAAAGTGCTCAAGAGTAATGAAGTCAGTCTAGGGATGAAGGTGCACCTGATCCAGGCCATGGTCTTCACAATTACTCTGTATGCATCACAGAGCTGAACAATGGCTAAAGATGACAGAAGAAAAATCAATGCCTTTGAGTTGTGGCACTGGAGAAGAGTCTTGAACAAACCATGAACTGCCAAGAAAACAAATAGGTCTGTCTTGGAGGAAGATGAAACCAAGTTTCTCCTTTGAGGCTAGGATTATGAAGCTCCATCTCACATACTTTGAGCATGTGGCCAGGAGGGACCAGTCCTTGAAGAAAGGCAACATACTTGGAAGGCTAGAGGGACATCACAGGAGAACATGACCCTGGATGAGATGTATTGACACAGTAACAGGGTAATGGGGGTAGGTATGTCACAATCAGTGAGACTGGCTCAGGATAGAACAGAGTTCAGAGCTATTGTTCATAGGGTTTCTATAAGTCACAGGTGATTCAGTGGCACATAACAGCAACAACAACCTTTCCTAAAACAAGGTAAAATCGATTGTAGATGGATTGAAAGCTGGGTAATGGGCACTGTATTTAGACCAATCCCTTCTCCAAGTAGCCACAATCCTCATTACTCCCTGTTAGCACCACTCTGCCCAGTTTTCTCATTGAACTTACATCTGCCTGGCCCAGGGGGCCTTGAGTTTGTACCTCCCAATCTAAGGGGCTATTCCCCTCCAATCAAGTCTGGCTAGCAGCAGTTTTACCACAGACAATTTATTTCCCGTGACTGTGACCTGGTAAACATGTGCCATTTCACATTGGCCCTGTTGTCACCACCAGCTAGAGGGTTTGGAGATTGGCTCAGGGGCACACCAACCTGAGCTAATTGCTTCCCAGAACTTGGGTAGACGACCTAAGGAAAAGATCCCATTGCTTAGCAACGGGAGATCAGGCAACTTCAGTTCTGGCCTCTGCTGGAGTGGGGGAGTGAGGTTGCGGCTGCTGATTCGGTGTGTGTAACCCACATTAGTGGCATTGTCCATGCACTGCAAAGCACTGGCACCTCTGGTCATTGGCACAATGGAGTTGCTGGTGGTGGTGCTGGGGGCATCAGGGGTGGCCATGTTACCGGGGTTGGAGTAAGAGTGTTGAGAAGGTGGATCAGGTTGGTCCAGGTGGAAAGAGCTGGTGGCTCGTTCCAGGTAGCTGGCTGCGAGCTTCGGCAGGCTCACCATAGTTTTGGGGCAGAAGGAATTGGCAGCTCGATCAAGGTAATTGATACCTTTGATTAGTTGGTCCAAGAAAGTAGGGCTGGAGAGGGTTGAGGGCTGGTCTGCACACATCAGGCAGTGGGTGCTGTCGTGGCTGGCCACTTTTCTGGCCACTTTGGGACCGTTAGCCAAATGGTTTGTCTCCACACTCTTGGAATTGTAAGACTGGCCCATGCAGATTCGCCTCAGTGGGAGCCTGGGGGAGCTGGCTGGCCATTCTGAGGGGCTGCTGCAGCTGCTGATCTCGGAGCCTCTTGGTGTGAGTGTACGCTTGAAGCTGTTGGTTCCAGGGAGGGGGCGGTAGTGGGTCCAGCCTGAAGACCATGATGGATTGGGCAAGCTGCTGGAATGGTTCAGGCGGCCATAAGTGTTAGGACGGCCCACGTGGTGCCCAGACATTGTGCACACCTGGAGGCTGGTAACCTGTGTCTAGTGGAAAGAGAGGAAGGTCAGCTCACAGCAGTTCCCTGCTATCTCCCACCAGACTTTCTCTCCAGGGGCTCTAGGCCCCTGAGGTCCAGCACCTCCCACCACTCACTTCCTATCCCCTGGCCCAGGGACCTTCACACTTGAAAACTAGCCTTCAAAAAAACCCAAAGAGAAGGCGAAGAAGACAAGACCTTCAGGATAATCAAAGCTAGAGATTCTTCTAAAAGAAGTTAAATATTAGATAGATATAGATAGATACTTTTTTTCCCAATCTGTCCCATATTCTGAAATTCCCATCTGCCTTTTAAGCAGGGATTCCAAAAAGAGACGCTTCCAGTTTATTTCAAGTCCTAGCAATCCCCTGTTAGGTTTCCATGACAACCCTCTATTAGGTTTCCAAGGCTATAAATCTTGACAAGAAGTGAATGTCTCCTCTTCCTCTCACAGAGGGCCTAGTGAGTTTGAACTGACAGCCTTTGGGTTAGTAGCCCAACACTTAACAAACAGAACTCTTTAAGCAGAGACTCCAAGGAATGACAAAGGCCAGGGACTGATTGTCTAATACTGAAATTCCAAACACTGAACTGAGCAAGATAGGTGCTTTTCCACCCCACCCCTTTCTTTTTAAGATGTTAAATCAAATAGTTAATAGGTCTAGTATTTTATCAAAGTTAAAATAAAATAGGTTGTAAAACACACTGTTATTTTATGTGAGGTCAAGAAAGAAAATCCATCCATTGTCAAACTACTCTCTCAGCTGGACAATGCACTCTGATACTAAAGAATGTATTTTAGGATCCACATAATGCTCTATCTCACTCTAATTACGTGCCTGGCCCTTTGCTGTCTGACTTAGATGGATTATTTTCTTTAAGTCTCACCAAAAATACTATTTTATTCCCACTTGATAGATGGGGATCTGGGGCTCAGAGAAATGGCATGATTCAAATAAGACCACATAGCTTCTAAACAGTGAGACTAGGGTACTATCTCAGATAGACCCTGACCTACTGAGCTTGAATTGCTACCACTTCTGTTCTGCCTGCAAAGATGGGGACATTGACAGAGAGAAGCAGGATGTTGGGGTCCTACTTATCCTGTGACTTAGTTTATTCTGATTTTGGGAACTAAAAAAAAGGGGGGGTGGAGGGCAGATAGTACAAATCTACTGATGGGGCTGAATTAGTGAGATCAGGACCCTTCAAAGAATTAAGGAATTCTGGTGACAGAGATGCAGGAAGATGTGCTGCTAACCCAAACACTGTGCTTTTCTGGCAGTTCGAACACACCCGTGGCTTGGAGGACAAAAGATGGACAATCTCCTTCTGTGTCATTTACAACCCCTGAAAATCCACTGGAGGGGCAGCTATGAGTCTGTTCTGACTGAACGGCCATGAGACGATGTGATGATCAAAGATAATCCCCCTGCTCACCCCACAAAAGAAGGTGGCCTTACAGATCCCACTTCTCCAGATCTTAAAGCCTTGGTGGGGACGGGGGGGGGGGGACCCTAAGGCATTACCAGGAAAAAATGTTGCCCAGCACATCTAACTCCACCCCCTCTTGGGCCTGCCATGACCCAACCTAGGGCAGTGTGTTCCCTGTTCTCACTGCCTCTCTGCTCCCCAGTGTCCCCCATTTGTCTCCTAGCCAGAATCAGGGCTCTGGCTTCTCTCCCCCACTACTGCCAGCTGATGCTAATTTTCCACTTCTGCTGGTGAGAACAGAGCAGTGTTTGAGCCTGTCCCACCCAGAAAACAGCTGCCCGCCTCTCTCCCAGCTTCAGCCCCACAGCTGCCCCTGTCGTTTGGGTCTGAATTTGCTGGAATGTCAAGACCCTTGTTTCTTCCCCCTGTACCTTACCCCACCCTGTTGCTTCTTCCCAAAAGACAAGGGAAGACCAAGGGCTGATTCCCCACAGGTCCCTGCCCTTCCCTCCCAGGGGGCTGTACCCCATCTGCCACAAGGGCCCCTCTCCCTCTCTCACTCTTGAAGGAGGTAGATGGCTTAGACCTCCTCTTGCACTCCACTGACGATACCCTCATGCCTCCACTTCAGATTGCTGTCCATGTCATAGAAGCATGGAATTCTGGGGCTGGGAGGGGCTTCCGGGGTCAGCCAGGTCATACTCCCACCTCAGGGCCAGCACCACTCTAATCCTTCCAGGACAGATGGGCCTTATTTTTAAAACGAAGCTGGGGTGGACCCTTTCCAGTGTTCCTTGTTGCTTTTCTAGTGTTTAATTATGCTGAGAGTCAGAAACTTCTTTGCTAGGCCTAATATAACCCTACTTGATGTGTGTAGCATTGATTTCACCTCTTTTTTTCCTTTGGGTCAACAAGTATATATCACATATCTCCCAAGTGCTGTCTCTTGGGGTGGTCCACTCTTTGGTGCAATAGCAACCCCTTTCCTCCCTTCTCACCTCTCCTTCAGGCAGTCAGCAATCCTGTGTTGAGCACCTACTATAGAGCCAGAGGATTCTTTAAAGAGGTAATCTCAATATATCCCCATCTTTCTTTTTTTCCCTTTCCCCCTGTTGGATCAAACTTTGATATTTCTTAAATATAATGTGAATCACCTCTAATGTTTTGGGGTGGGGTTTTCTTCCATTTTCTACTAAATTGAGACAGTTAACAGTTTTAGTTTGCTGGGCTCCACAGTCAACATTCTCGGTACCAGCAGACAGGAAATCAAAAGATGAATTGCATTGGGAAAGTCAGCTGTTAGGGACATCTCCAGAGCACTGAAGAGCAACGACATCAGGCTGAAGACTAAGGTGTGCTTCATCCAGGCTATAGTCTTCTCAATTGCATGCTATGCATTGGAGAGCTGGACAGTGACTAGGGATGATAGAGAATTAATGCCTTTGAGCTGGAGAAGAGTGTTGAATATACCACGGACTGCTAAGAGGACAAACAGGTTTGTCCTGGAGAGGGTTAAGCTGCACTTCTCCTTAGAGGTAAGGATTCTGAAGCTTCGTCTGACATACTTTGGGCATGTTGCAAGGAAGAACCAGTCCTTGGAGAGGGACATGTTTGGGAGAGGTACAGCGCAGGAGAGGAAAACCCTCGATGAGATGGATCAATTCAGTGATTGGGGTACTGGGAGTAGTTGTGTCGGAGACAATGAGGTTGACACAGGGTAGAGCAGCGTTTAGGGCTCTTGTACATAGGGTCACTATGATTCGCAAGCAACTCAACGGAACATAACAACAACAACAATGACGACAACAACAACAACAACAACTAGTTTATTTATAAAATTCAAATACATTGTTTTCAAGAACAAATTCTTTCAATTTCCCTCACCACTCACACCTCACCCGATCAAATTGTACAACCCCATGATTAATCCCCCCTTCCCCCTGAACATCCTCATCCCTCTGATTCTACCCTCTCCCTCATCCCTCTTGGATCCTTATACTCATTCTACAATAATGGTTTTATACAATATTTATCCTTATGGGACTAAGTGAGATAATTCACTCAGCATAATGCTCTCCAGTGTCTCTCAATTAGGTAATAATTTACAAAATCGTTGCTCCTGCATGCTGCATGGTATTCCATTGTGTGAACGTACCATAATTTCTCAATCCATTTGGTTGGACATTTGGAATCACCTCTAATTTTATATAATTCAACTTAGTGTGTGTCTGTTCTCTAATTAGGGCTCTCTAGTGGTGTAGTCTGGAAGCAGTTACACTGCTAACCCAAAGGTAGTGTCTCTCTGACTATTTGAAACCATCAACAGCTCTGCAGGGAAAAAGATGGACAACTTCCTCTAGCGAGAAAACATGCGGAGGGATCAGCTGAGTTGGCTCTGACTCTGTGGCAACAAGTCATGAGTTGTTATGTGCTCCTGAGTCAATTAAAACTCATAGTGACCCTATGAACAACTGATCAGAACCTTGCCCAGTTCTGAAACATTCTCACCGTCTCTGATCCTGATCCTGCTGGCACAAGTAACAGGTCAGGCTGCTGAACAACAAATCAGACTGAAAGATGGACAATCATCTCCTGTAAAGCTTTATAGCCCCAGAGATCCGATCAAGGGCGGCAAAGTGTCAGAGGAGATTTGATGGCATGGGGTGTTAATTTGGTTTATTATCTATCTACTGATTTTCCTTCCCCTTTCTTTCTTCCTTTCTTCTTTCTGGTAACCACCAAAGAATGTTTCACTGTGTGTTTAAACTGTGTAGAAACCTTTCCTTAACTTTCTTACAATTATAGATTCATACAATAGTGGTTGGTTGGTTGTACCTCAGAGTCAGGACCACTGGGTTTTCAGAGGCTGTTAATCACACGGGAGAAGATTGCCCATCCTTCTTCCACAGAGCAGCTGGTGGCCTCGAACCGCACGCATGCCTTCGGGATTGCAGTGCAGCTTCTTGTCACTAGGCCACCAGAGCTACAATAATTGCCCTTTAAAAAAATTCTTTATTTACATATAATCATTCATATACATTGTGTTTTGTACATGGACTTTGTTTTATGCACTCCTTCATCTACACTATATTTCACATCATTGATTACCATTGCTCTATGCCTATTTGTCCTTTTGAGTCTTGCTCCCTTCACTTAGCATAATGCTTTCCCAAGTTCATCCATCCCTCATCTTTCTTCCAGGTCTGATCCATAATGGTATGTTGTTGTTGTTGTTTGCCTTCGAGTCGAGCAAGACTCATAGCGACCCTATGTAATCATTGTCAAATAAACAAAACTCTCCTTTAAAGATCTCATAGCATTACGAGCCACAAAACGTGATTCATTTCCTTACTTCTCCTTGTCATGAGGGTCTTGGAGTTCACTAAGACTCAGTTCCTGTGAACCCAGATGGAAGCCTTGCTCTATCCTGCACCAACCTCACGACCTCCACCCCGTTCAACAAGCCCATTGTCACAGTCACCGTGTCACTCTATCTCATGAAGGGTTTTTTCTTCCTCCCCTTTTCCAAGCATGATGTTCTGT